ACCCGAACCCCGTCTCCCTCCACCCGCGCCGAACCCTAGCCATGAGCTCCTCCTCGTCCACCGTTTCCAACCCGTTTGCCGGTCCCGATGTCACTCTCGTCCGCGACCTCAACATCCACGAGCGTGTTCCGGTCAAGCTTGATCACACCACCGCCTCCTATTCCGCTTGGAAGCGGTATTTTTCGCTTGTGTTCCGTGAGTACCTCCCGCACGGCCACGTGGACGGCACCGTGGACTCAGCGCTCATGATCAACGACGAGGAGTGGATGATCCTCGACGCCACCATCATCTGCTGGTTCTACCTCACCATCTCCAGCGACCTCTTCCACACCGTGGTGAACGACGAGGACGACGCCTACGCGGTCTGGACCAAGCTCAACGGCCTCTTCACCGACAATCGGCTACAGCGCAAGGTCCTGCTCTATGGTGAGTTTTATGGGTGCCAGCAACTTGACTCATCCATCGATGATTTTTTGCATGCGCCTCAAGAAGCTCGTCGATGAGCTCCGTGATCTCGGGGAAAAGATCAGCGACGAGCTCCTCATCAGCACCCTCTCCGGCGGCCTCAACGAGGACTTCGGGAACACCGCCTCCAACCTCACCCTCATCCCGGAGCCCACCTTCGCCAAGGTGGTCGCGTACCTCAAGTTGGAGGAGCGCTGGATGCGGGTGGCGCGGACTCGCGCGACCCAAACCGCCCTCGTCGCAGGCACCCGCGGGGGTTCGGCCCCGCCACCGCCACGCCCGACGCCGCCACAGCCGACGGCGCCCGCCTTCCCACCCGGATTCCCGCCCGCCCCCTTCCCGCCGCCCCAGCCGGCGGCCAATGGGGGGGGGGTTCGTCGCGGCGGTCGTCGTGGCGGCCGCAAGCAGGGGGGCGCCGGTGCTCAGGGAGGAGCGCCCCGCCCGCCGCAGCACGCCCCTCAGCCGGCCCCGTGGTACGCCGGCCAGAACCCATGGACCGGCGTTGTCCACGCCTACTCCATGCCGGTTCCTCGGGCTCCTGCCCCGGGCCTTCTCGGCACCCGGCCTCTGCCACACCAGGCGTACTACATCGCGCCGCAGCCCTACGCGGCGCCCTACGGTCAGCAGCCGCCGCCGGGTGGGCCGCCGCTGCTGCCCCTGACGGCTGCGCCGCCTCTCCCGCCGGCACCGTGAGACCCGGCCCTCCTGGCGGCTCTCCACAACGCTCCTTCCCCGTCCAGCTACACCGGCGGCGGCGATTGGTACATGGACAGTGGCGCCACCGCTCACATGGCGGCGTACCCCGGTAACCTCCACACCGCCCATCATGTCCACACCTCCCACCGCATCACCGTCGGTGACGGTTCTTCCCTTCCTATCACCCATATAGGTCATACATATTTTCCGTCTAACTCCACTCCTATATCCATGTCTAATATTCTTGTTTCTTCTGACCTTATTAAAAATCTTGTTTCTGTTCGTTCTCTTACACGTGAAAATCCGATTACCGTTGAATTTGACGAATGTGGTTTTTCTGTTAAGGACACTCGCACGCGGATGGTGCTCCACCGATGTGACAGCCCCGACGAGCTCTACCCGGTTCACTCTGCCACCTCCACCACTTCTGCCGCCCATGTCGCTCTCGCCACCGGAGTGGATCTTTGGCATGCTCGCTTGGGTCATCCTAATCCTGCCACCCTTCGCCACATACTTCGGAGTTTTTCTTTCACGTGTAATAAGAACGAGGATCACTCATGTCATGCATGTCGCCTCGGCAAACATGCTCGTCTTCCATTTAGGCCTTCTTCTTTTGTTGCATCGTACCCGTTCGAGTTAATTCATAGTGATGTTTGGACATCTCCTGTTGCAAGTAATACGGGCTTTCTTTATTATCTTGTCATACTTGACGATTTTTCGCATTATGTGTGGACCTTCCCGTTGCGCCGCAAGTCGGATGTTATATCCACTCTCGCCGCTTTCTATTCTTATGTTCTTACGCAGTTTGGTCGACCCATTCTTGCATTGCAGACAGACAACGGGAAGGAGTTTGACAACATCGATGTTCGTAATCTTCTCACCACACATGGCACGATTTTTCGTCTCACTTGCCCGTACACCTCGCAGCAGAATGGTCGTGCTGAGCGCATCCTTCGCACTCTCAATGACTGTGTTAGGACTCTTCTCTTTCATGCCAACGTGCCTCCGCGCTTTTGGCCTGACGCTCTCGCCACCACTTCTCTCCTCATCAACATCCGTCCATGTCGTACTCGCGGGAACTTTACACCTCATCATCTTCTCTTCGGTGCACCCCCCCTCTTATGATGGGCTTCGCATCTTCGCCTGCCTTTGCTATCCTAGCATCGCCGCCACTGCACCTCATAAGCTCGCACCACGCTCCGTCGCCTGCATCTTTCTCGGCTACCCACCTAACACCAAGGGCTACCGCTGCTATGATCCCGTCTCCCATCGTGTTTTCACCTCCCGACACGTTTACTTTGATGAGATGGTGTTTCCGTTTCAGCAGCAGGTACCCCTTGTCGCCTCGTCACCACCGGCCACCAGCGGCTCTTCGACGACCTCGTCAGGTGGACGGTCCCGTCTAGCCCATGGACCGCCTCCGGGCTTTGGCGGTCCCCGCGCCCTCCTGCCGGCGCCCGCCCCCTCGGCCTCCTCGGCCGACTCTGACAGTGCAGCCGGCGCCCCGCCTTCACCCGCCGCCCCCGACTCGGGCGCTGCGGGATCGGGCGCTGCAGGCTCGGTCGCCTCCTCCGCGGCCTCGACGCCCGCCACCTCGCCGGCCCTGACGCCGCCCCCCTCGCCGTCTCCGACGCCGGCCCCCTCGCCAGCCACGACGCCGGCCACGACGCCGGCCGCCTCGCCAGTGGCTCTGGCGTCACCGCCCGGCCCAGTTACCCGCGCTCGTACCGGCGTTCATCGTCCGAGCCTCCGGTACTCGAGCGATGAGTACGTCCTCGCCGCCTCCGCCGCGGAGCCGTCGCCCATTCCCGCATCCGCTCGCGCCGTCCTCTGTGATCCTTACTGGCTTGCGGCGATGCAGGAAGAGTTCGATGCTCTTCAACGGAACCGCCACCTGGACCCTGGTTCCCCGGCCTCCTCGCGCCAACGTCATCACCGGCAAGTGGGTCTTTCGCCATAAGACCCGCTCGGACGGTACTCTCGAGTGCTACAAGGCTAGCTGGGTGGTCCGCGGTTTCCACCAGCGCGCTGGAGTGGACTTCACTGAGACGTTTGCCCCGGTTGTCAAACCGCGCACGATCCGCACCGTCCTCCAGCTCGTCGTCTCCCGCAGCTAGCCTGTTCACCAGATGGATGTCTCCAATGCCTTTCTCCACGGCCATCTTGAGGAGCAGGTGTATTGTGAACAACCCACCGGTTTCGTCGACGCCTCACTTCCCGGCCATGTGTGTCTGTTGTCCCGCTCTCTTTACGGGCTCAAGCAGGCACCCCGTGCCTGGTACCAGCGGATCGCCGGGTTTCTTCAGACACTGGGCTTCAGCGTCACTCGCTCAGACGCCTCACTATTTGTCTATCGCCACGGTGACACGACTGCATACTTGCTGCTTTACATCGATGACATTATCCTGACAGCCTCCTCCGCAGCTGTTCTTCAGCAGATTACTCTCCGGCTGCGTGACGAGTTTGCTATCAAGGACCTGGGTGCTCTACATTATTTCCTTGGCATTGAGGTCGTTCATCGTCCGGACGGCTTCTTTCTTCATCAGCAGAAGTATGCACATGAGCTTCTTGAGCGTGCTGGCATGCTCAACTATCATCCCGTTGCTACTCCTGTTGACACGAAGGCCAAGGTCTCTGCTCTTGAGGGCTCGCCTGCGTCGGATGCTCCTTTCTACCGGTCTATTGTCGGCGCTCTACAGTATTTGACTCTCACCAGACCGGATCTTCAGTATGCTGTACAGCAGGTGTGTCTCCACATGCACGCCCCCCGTGACTCTCATTGGACTCTCGTGAAGCGGATCCTTCGCTACATCCGCAGCACGATGACCCTCGGGTTGACACTTACGGCGTCTACTTCTTTGGAGATGGTGGCCTACTCCGATGCAGACTGGGCTGGCTGCTTAGCCCAGATACTCATCGGTCCACCTCTGGCTACTGTGTCTACCTCGGTCCTTCACTCGTCTCGTAGTCATCCAAGCGACAACCCGCGGTTTCACGCTCTAGCGCGGAGGCTGAGTACCAAGCTGTGGCAAACGCTGTCGCCAAGTGCACCTGGCTACGACAGTTACTTCAGGAGCTGCATCACGACGTCTCCCATGCTACGGTTGTCTACTATGACAACGTCTCTGCGGTGTATCTCTCCGCCAACCCCGTTCACCATCGCCGGACTAAACACATTGAGCTGGACATTCACTTTGTGCGTGAGCAGGTGGCTCTTGGACGTATGTGGGTTCTCCATGTGCCGACCGCTCAGCAGTTTGCCGATGTGATGACGAAGGGACTGCCGACTTCTACCTTCGAGGACTTCCGTTCCAGTCTCTGCGTCACTGGCGCCGCTTCGACTGTGCGGGGGGGGGGGTGTTGAGTATATTGTGTACGTGTATATTTATGTGTAGGGCCCACCTCCTGTTTCCTTTGTATAGTTCAGGTTGTGGCCCACCTATGTACTTATATATACGTGCCTGGTGCACCGATCAATACATCGAGATTGCACAGCTCATATCTTGTCCTTCTACACTCATGTACGCGGTGGTGCCAACGGTGATGGAGACCCGACGAGAGCGCTGTTGGTCGGCGCCGGCGCCGTGGTAGAAGATCCTTGAGACGCCAAAGTCGGCGATCTTGACGTCCCCGCGAGCGCTGGCGAGCAGGTTGTCGGGCTTGAGGTCGAGGTGCGCGACGGCGCGCGCGTGGAGGTGCGCGAGCCCGAGGGCGCAGCGCGGGCTCCGGGAGGCCGCCGCGGCCGCCGCGGCGGTGGAGGACGTCATAGAGCGACCCGGCGTCCATGAGCTCGAGCAGGCACGCGGGCTCGCCGCCGTCACCGCGTAGAACGGCGTGGCAGCGCACCACGTACGGCAACGGTGGCCCGGCCCCGCACGCGCGGCGGAGCACCTCGTCCTGCTCCCTCCCCGCGTCGATGTCGTCGGGGTAGTGAGCGACCTTGAGCACGAACGCAGGGCCGGCGGTGCCGCGGAGGCGCACCTTGGTCACCACCCCGCTCGCGCACTCGCCTAGGTCGGCCAGCCACTCCAGGTCGGACAGCTTCAGCCGGCGCTCCTCCCCTTCCTTGTCCATACCAGCGGCGGCAGGAGGCGGCATGACGGCGTGAGGCGCAGGCGCGGCGAGGTCCGGGCGGCGGAACATGAGGTGGGGCGCGGACGGGGGCATCGTGCCGCCGGGCGCCATGCGGACGCGAGCCAGCAGTTTTTCCACAAGCAGCTCGCTTAGAGAGCATGTCTAACAGATCCCTCAAAAACTCAACCTTCAAAACCAGTTTGAGGGCTGAGAAAACGTCGTTTTGAAGGTCAAAAATCCCTGACGCAAATCAGTGCCCTCTAAACAGAATATCAAAACAGAATATTCTGTTTTGAGGGCTGGTTTGAGGGCACTGATCTGCGCCCCGGCCTTCAAACCCTCAAAACTGGACTTCGCCGGTTTGCCAGGCTTCACCGGTTTCGCCGGTTTTGTCGCGGTGGAGGTTGCCGGCTTGCCGGGCTTCGCCGCCTTCCCAGCCGGTTTTGCCGGCTTCCCCGCGGGGGAGGGCACGGGCGGCTTGCTCGGCATGAGGTGGGTGCCCGCCCGCCTCTGTTTTTGGCCGACGTGGGTGGCCGCCACCATCTCCGCCACGGCGGCG